TCTGACAGGGGAGATGAGGGCTGCAGCCCAAGTTGCCAGAGGATGAGAATTTTCAGACAACACAGTCTACTCCTCTGAGGGGCTCATGTCATCGTTCAGGGAAGAGCACCCTAGCCTCCTCCTGCCCACCCACAGAACTGGGATAATAGAGCAGAGCAAGGATGTGGGGGGGTGTGGATGGAGTGACACAGAGAGTGAGGTTTAAAAATCCCTGCTGCTGAAAACTGGAACATGTCAAAAGACTACATTGAAGAATGATATACTATTAATGGGAGAGTTAATAGTATATATTAATGTTAATATTAGTTAATATTATTACTAGCTATTAATGTTAATATTATTAGCTATTATTAGTTAATATTAATAGTTAACATTAACTGGAGAGTTAGTTTGTGGTATGAGAAGAAGAGCTTGACTTTGTGCGTGTTTGGTACAAGCTCATAGAAGGGGGCCACGTTTGTCTAAGGCCTGTCACATTCCGGTGCCATGCTGGATGTTTTACATGTTCATAGACATGACCTTGATTCTAGGAGGAGAGCGCTGATGACTGAGGTAATTCTTAAAGTCATGCAGCAAGGAAGTATTAGGACTTTGTCCCTTGCTGGCCACACGTGAGCTCCATTTGCAGACAGTCAGGAGGACTTAGGGAATACCAATCGGAACCATATAGGGCCCAGCGCTGGGAGGAGTCATTTGCCGGAAAGTGTGATGGTGTCGCCCTCACATCTTGTCACTCACGAATTATGCAGGACACGAGCAGCCTCGCGTGTTCAGTCGCTCGGTCGTATCCAACTCTGCGACCCCATCGACCGCAGCCCACCAGGCTTCCCTGTCCATGGGATTCTCCAGGCAAGAACGCTGGAGTGAGTTGCCATTTCCTCCTCCAGGAGATCTTCCTGACCCAGGGATCGAACTCTTGACTCCCTTGTCTGCTGCATTGCAGGTGGATTCTTTGTTGCTGAGCTACCAGGGGAAGCCCCGTATTCAGCATTGTTTATATTTAAAAAAACGCTTGTTTTTTTTTTTAGCTTAAGTTCAGTGGAGTCAGTATGTCTTGTTGCAGAAGTGAAAGTCCTCTCATGTATTTGTTGTGGGAAGAACATGACTCAGGATTCATTGTCACCTCTGCACCAACCACTTGCGTAGTCTTGGCAAGGGTCTTACCCTTCCAGGCTTCAGCTTCCTCACTGAAATCGGGGAGCAAATGTACCTAGCTTGGAAGTCTGCTGAAAATTATACTTAATATATGTAAAATATCCAGCGCAATGCTTGTCTCTGAGCAGGCTGTTGGTGAACAGCCATGGTTATGATTGTGGTTATGATTGTTACTTGACCTGATGTGGTGCCTATGAAAAAGCAGCTCTCAGATCCCTAACTGCAGTGGCCAGAATGGACCAGAGGCCCCAGTGCTCTGCTCTGAAATCTATTGCAGTTTTTGCTCCCAGGGACTGCTTCCAACCAATGACTTGGCGAGGCAGGAATGCCAAGTCATGTCCATCCTGAGAGATGTGGGACTCTGCTGGTGAGGGATTTGGGTTTGAAGACTCTGTAGTGGTCTTCCCTAACCCTCCCTAAAACTGCCCTACCGTCTGAGGTGCTCCTAGCCTGCCAGCTCACCCCATTCCTTCCTCCCTCCTCCCCTCACGCCTTCCCTCCCTCCCTGCATCCTTCTTTCTCTCCTTTTCTTGGGGTAAGAACTGCACTTTGATCTAATGTTTCTCCCAGTCTTTTCTGATTCCTTCTCAATTTTCTTTCACCAGTATTTCTTTAAAAAATGTCTTGGATGCTCAATCCAATCTTGGAATCTGCTTCTCACGGGACCCATACTAGCACAACTAAAGCCATTTTCCAGGTTAGGAGGTTGACACTAGTTCGTGTCCCTTGTAACCAAAGTTGTGCAGACCATGACCACGGCCCCTCTTAGCTTCTTTCTTCCAGACTGAAGGGTTTTGATATATTTTTCTTAGTCTTCTGACACAAGCTGCTTCTTGTTGCTTGTTTCGGGTGCTCTTTGCTGGCAGCATCCTGGTTCTCTTTCTTGATCAGAACCAGAAGCAGGTGTTCTCCGCCCACGTGCACCATGATTTTCTGCAAGGTAAGGATTTGCTTTCTGGATCGTCACAATTAGAAGAGCTTACTTGCACCCAATGCATTTGTCTTCAGAGTGTTTAAGCTAAACAGAGTTCTGCTGAGTGTCATCAGTTTTTACACCGGGGTTTGAGATCTCAAGACTTCATCAATGTACTGAAGGAGCTAGCAGGGTGAAAACTGGCATGGAGTCTAAAAAGTTTATATTTCCATGTTTGTGTGTAGATGTGTATAACTGGCGAAAGAGTTAGATGTCTCAGCTTTCCCCTCTTTCTATAATGCTACCCCTGTCTCCTCTTCAACTTGTGGCAAGCTTTTCATAAAAGTTAATGGTGAGTGTCAACTGCATGCTTCCATCTTCTGATTGGGTTACATGACAATCTGTAGGCAATAGCAGTGTGATCTTGTCACAATTTCATCACATAGAATTTCAGGTGGAACAACAGATGTTTCATGTCAAAGGAAGTGGAAGAGAACTCTTACTGCCTCTCAATAACTACTAGTGTAAAACCAAGACACGATTTATTATTTTTATGGCACAAATCATGCACTTTCACTGGCAGGTGACCCTAACAGAATAAATGGTAAATCTGATTTACTTGAACATTCATGTGTCAATGAGGTACTTACAGAAAAATGCTTTCAGCATCCTTCACCAGTTGGAATTATTCTGCTTCTCAATTCTATATTTAGGGAAGCTTTTCTGGCTTCCATTTGACCATGTATGGTGCACATTATAGTAGCTTCCTCTTAGGGTTATGAAGAATAAATGAGATAATTCATATAAAGTGCTCAGTAAAATGCTAGATGTTGGCCTCAGTATGATCATGATCATCATCATCACCATCACCATGATCGTCATCAAAGCAACAGAGCTGCAAATATTCCCTTCTGCTAGAACCGCTAATGTGGGGAAAAGTCACAAAGAGAAAGGCAGAAACCAGCTGTTTTGCCCTCTTGGTAGGATAGCTGCAGTTTTTTAAACTTAAGCTGAATCTGGTTCTCAGAATAAATGAGAATGTATGGCAAAAAGTGTTCCAAACGGTATCCCTAAAGGCCATGAGTGCTCGAGCAAGAAGAATGCAAATGGAAAAAAATGAAAGAAAGAAAAAAAATGCTTCCAGATTCCAAGGTCACAAAGTATAAGAACCCTAGAAATTTCCTTGGGGCAGAAACTTGCTGACCTTGGAGGGGAACGGAAGCAACACCCTCTGGTCAGCAGAGTCCTGCAGGTTTCTGCCTGCAGCATCATACCAGGTGCACCTCTGAATATGCAGATGTAATCGAGTTAAAATGAGGTCACTAAGGTGGGCGATAATCGCACACGACTGACATCCTTATAAAAAGGGGAACTTTGGACAGAGACGTGCACACAGGGAGAACACAGTCAACATACAGGCAGAGAGCAGGTTGATGCGTTTACAGCCAAGGTGCAGGAGGGACTGCCAGCAAAGCCCTGGAAGCTAGGAGAGAGGCTGGAGCAGACTCTCAGAGCCTCGGAAGGAATCGGCCCAGCGGACCTCTGGGTCTCAGACGTTGGGCCTCCAGGCCTGTGAGGTAACATATTTCTATCCTAAAGTCCCCCTGTCTGTGATATTTTGTTGCAGCGACCCTAGGAAACTGATACAATGGGCAACAGGGTCCCAGACCAGCTGACTATGGGCAGAAGCAGCAGCATAGATCATCTCCATGCAACCTTGTTCACGGCCGCAGCTGCTTTTAGAAACTGGTCCATGGTGGGCTGCGGATGCAAGTACAGGAGGCAGCAGTAACAACTGGCTCAGTTCAGTCGCTCAGTCATGTCTGACTCTTTGTGGCCCCATGGACTGCAGCACACCAGGCTTCCCTGTCCATCACCAACTCCAGAGCTTGCTCAAACCCATGTCCATCGAGTCGGTGATGCCATCCAACCATCTCATCCTCTGTCGTCCCCTTCTCCTCCCACCTTCAATCTTTCCCAGCATCAGGGTCTCTTCCAGTGAGTCAGCTCTTCGCATCAGGTGGCCAAACAACTTGCTAAGTGCTGAAAAAAACAGAGGGAGGGGGAGCACAGATGGGGCTGTAAGTCCAAACCACAGAAGTACCCATTTCTCTTAATTATAAGGAGAGCAGGTTGCCCCCAGGGTCTACTTGACAGAAAAGGATGGCTTTCTGGGGAGGTACATCCGTGGTGAAAAAGCAGGCATTTGGGTTCTGTCTATTGCTTCCTTTATTTTCTCCCCCTTGGCCTTTAAATAATCAAAAACTGTTTAGTGAGCTAGTTTGCAAACATCTGGGACTAGAGGATGTCTAAGTTTGGATTTCTGTCCTCAGAATTCCTAAAAAACAGCTGGGAAGCTCAGGTATAAGATACCTTGGGTTCATTTCAATGTATGACAAAAACCACTGCAATGATGTAAAGTAATTAGCCTCCAACTAATAAAAATAAATGGAAAAAAAAAAAAGGAAGTTCCCCTGGAGGATAGCATGGCAACCCAAAAGAAAAAAAAAAAAAAGATGAACGGGATGTGTAAGGCATAGTTCCGGCGAGGCAGAAAAGGAAAGACCTCAACAGAAGTAGCTTACCTTTATTCAGGCAAGGAGGGGCGACAGTCGGCCTAACGACCAGGCTGAGCACAGAAAGGGATCAGGGAGGCTTCATACTTACAGGGAGGTTTGTGGAAGCGATAAGGGAAACGTCAATCAGGCGGGATATTTTGAGTATTCTTTTGTTGAGATGACACTTGTAGTTGGGCAGGGGGTGATGAGTCTTCTGGGCGGGTGGAGGGGGTGGTAGGTTTCCCGACAGGGGGTGATAAGTCCCAGATAGATGCAGCTGGCCTGGAGCATCAGGGTGGAACTGAAGTTCTGCTTTGTTTTCTCCGAAGTTAGATGATTCAGCAAGGGGCCTTTGAGACTGTTCTCTTTTCTAGGCCCAAAAGACTCCTTCAGGATGTACACAGAGGTTCAGTTTCAAAGGAGGCAGACCACAGAGGGGACCTGAGTAACAGCCCAGTGCTGCTCCCGTGTTTCTGCCTGTTTCTGCACTGGCTGCTCCAGCACCGTGCTGAAAACTGGGTGATAGAGAAGACTGTGGCGTGTTCATGATTTCAGTGAGTATTTCCAAAGTTCTATCATTGAGTCAAATGCCTTCTCTAAGGTTATATTAAGGTCCTCTATTAGGACCAGGAAGTCTCTATTAGTTTTCTCAGAGATTTCTTTGTTAAAAAACAAAAAACAAAAAACCCACCCATCAATCAAGACCCTGATGCAGGGAAAGATTCAAGGCAGGAGGAGACGGGGATGACAGAGGATGAGATGGTTGGATGGCATTACCGATTCAACAGATATAAGTTTGAGCAAACTCCGGGAGATGGTGAACAGGGAAGCGGGGCATGCTGCAGTCCACAGGATCACAAAGAGTCGGACACGCCTGAGTGACTGAACAACAGCAACAAATCAAGTTGAATTTTATCAGGTGTCTATTTAAAAAGTCTATCTGAGATGTTTCTCTGCTTTAATCCTCAATGGACTTAAATACATAAATGAGTTTATGATAGTCACTATTCTTGAAGTCCCAGGAAGAGCGCAAGAGATAATTTTTTTTCCCAACGTGACATGTGACAGACTGAATCTTCTAAAAATGGCTTAGAAAGATCTCAATTTCACTTGTTCTTCCAACAACCGGCTTCTCATTTCTTCCGTTGAGACACCGGGGTTTTGTTCCCTCCCTGGGAATCCATCTGTGTCATGGTGATGGTGGGAGAGATGCTCTTGGACTCTGGAGGCAAGGCCATAAAAGGCAGTGTGGCTTCTACCCACTTCTCTTGAGCTATGTGCTCCTGGAACCTGGCCACCATGAAGCAAGGATGCCCCTCTTCAGAGACTCATGCAGAGGGGGTCTGTGGTTTGTAGCCTACAGTCTAGCTGGGCTCCCAACTAACATCCATTATCAACATGATGGCTATGGGAGTGAGCCATCTTGAAAGCAAATCCACCAGCCCTAGCCAAGCCATCCAGCCAGTGTGACATGGAGCAGGGGGCAAATTATGAACATCATGCACAGCCCACATTGCAAATTTGTGATCAAAATAGAGGCAGACAGTTGTTTCAAGTCACTAAATTTTGAGGAGGCTTGTTTATGTAGCAGTTGATAGTTCATACAGGATAATTAATTCAATTTGCTAATATTTTATTTGTGACTTTTACATCTGCTTTGAGAAGGAAGATTGGCCCATATTTTCTTCCATTTTTTTGGACTGTCCTTGTCTGCATTTCCTATCAGAGTTACATAACTCTTTAAAACTGAGCTGGAATGTATTTCTTCTTTTTCTAGTCTCTGAAAACATTTAAGATTGAAATTCTTTTCCTGATGGTTCAGTGGGTAAAGAATCTGCCTGCAATTCAGGAGACACAGGAAACATAGATTCAATCCTGGGGTCAGGAAGATCCCTCAGAGGAAGAAAGGGCAACCCGCTCCATTATTCCTGTCTGAAGAGTCTAATGGACAGAGGAGCCTGATGGGCTACAGTCAGTCCAGGGGGCGGAAAAGAGTCGGACACGACTGAGAGACTATNATGTCTTTGGTTTCTTTGAGAGTTTTGTCTCCTGGGCCAGTTTTTTGGAAGGTTAGGATCTATTCTGATTTTGGGTTTTTATTTTTAGGTTAACTTTTGGGAGTTTCCTAGAAAATTGTCCACATTCTTCAAGTTTCCAAAATATGAATACAGGTTTCACTGTTATTGACTTATGTTCCCTCATTCATCTGTAATATTGTTTATTTTCTCTCTCTCTGTTTTCCTGATGGACTTGCTAAAGTATGTCTATTTGACTCATCTTTTCAACAATCAGCTTTTCTTTATTGTTCATCTTCTAGCTTCTCATGAAAGCAGAAAGAAAACTAATCAAAGTTTTCAATTATTTACAAACAGTACCTGTAATTTGTATTGTAGTTGGTAAAGAATTTGCCTGCAGTGCAGGAGGCCCGGGTTCAATCCCTGGGTTGGGAAGATCCCCTGGAGAAGGACACAGCAACCCACTCCAGTATTCTTGCCTGTAAAACCGCATGGACAGAGGAGCCTGGCGGGCTACAGTCCAAGGGGTCGCAAGAGTCGGACACGACTTAGCGACTAAACCACCACCACCTGTAATTATAATACTCAGGCAAACAAAAAAAAAAGTGTTTTCATCATGGAGTAAAGCTACTCTTTCCAAGTATGGCCCGCTGGGCTTCAGCCTTCTCGGCATCTTCCCTTCTAACAAACCTCAGGTAAAGATCAGGTGTCGTTTATCCCGAGTTTACGGATGAGAACAAGAGGTTCAGAGGCTAGCGAACCTGCTCAGGGCCAGAGGAGACAGAGCGGGAACCCAGAGGTCCCCACCGCTGGGTCTGTGTGTCCCTCAGCCACGTCTGCAAGTCCTGAGGACCAACACCTGCTGCGTGCCTCTCACCTGGCGGGCTTAGGGATGCTGGGGCGGGACCGAGCTGACTCCGCCCCGCCCCGCGATCAAACCACGCCCCATACCCCGCCTCGCGGTCAAGCCCCGCCCCGGCAGCCCCGCTCCACCACTCAGGCCCCGCCCCATCCGGCCCCCAGAGGAAGCGGAAGTGGTGGCCGGCCCGGACGGAAACAGGAAGCGGTGGGGCAGGACGACGCCCGCGGCGGTTTGCGGGCTGCGCGGTGATGGCGGAGAAGTTCGACCACCTGGAGGAGCACCTGGAGAAGTTCGTGGAGAACATCCGGCAGCTCGGCATTATCGTCAGCGACTTCCAGCCCAGCAGCCAGGCCGGGCTCAATCAGAAGCTGTGAGTCGCACGCGGGGCGGTGTCTCCCTGGGGCCGGGGTGAGAAGCCGGGGTCCGGCCGCGAGCCTCTGCCTGCCCCCAACTCTTGCTCGGGGCCCTGTCCCTCCTGGTCCAGGCTGTGCGCAGGGGCGCTCACCGCTGCCGCCTCCTTCCCGCCTTGCCCTGGCTGGGACCTTCCCTTCAGGCCCCATTTGGATAAGTCATCAGGGCCAGATAACAGTTTCCCGTTTCAGGAGGAATCGCCTGACGGTGGGTGCTGAGGGTCAGAGAGGGGCCACGGAACGGTTATGAATTAGTTTTTCGGCAACAGCCTTGTGCAGTCTCTGGTGCTAGGTCCCTGGGATGGGCCAAAGGCGGAGTCGAACGCTGTGGACACGGGCTCGTAGCTTTATGGAGGGTTCAAACATAACAGGCGTGTTTGCAACCCCGCCTCCGTACCCAGTGCTGTGGGACCAGCCCGGTGTTCTAGGAAGGCTCCCAAGCCGAACTGAAATTAAACCAGGCCTAGTGGGTTTCTTCCCCCAGACTCTGAGGATGGACTCGTGAAGGCCAGTCCACTGCGCCCGGCCGCCCCTCCCCCCCCGGCCCGTGTTGTCTCAAACGGGCACACAAAATCTCAGAGGCTCCCGCCCTTACTCCTGTTGGTTTCTGACCCCTCAATATTGGTAGTCCCTTGTTCAAAAAGAAAATCAAGGGATATGTGAGCATACCATGTAACTCCAGAGCCTTCCGGGGAATCCTGAGCTGACCGAAGAGCGGAGAGCTGCGGGTCGCCTGTCCCGTGTACGGAGCAGGCCTCTGGGGCCCTCCTGGTTTGGTGGGGGGCCCAGTGTGGTCATCCAAACTAACCTCATGTTCTCCCCCAGGAATTTTATTGTTACTGGCTTACAGGATATTGATAAATGCAGACAGCAGCTTCATGATATCACGGTCCCTTTAGAAGTATTTGAGTAAGTATTGTTCTTGATATTTTTGATTCTTGTTTGGTTTTCCTGTAATGATTTTCTTATCATAGGGCTTCCCTGGTAGCTCAGACGGTAAAGAATTTGCAGTTCTTGGGTCAGGAAGATCCCCTGGAGAAGGGAATAGCAACCCATTCCAGTGTTATTGCCTGGAGAATTCCACGGACAGAGGAGCCTGGTGGGCTACAGTCCATGTGGTCACAAAGAGTCAGACATGACTGAGCAACTAACACTTTTCCTTGACCACCAGTGTTTAAGTGTCTGCTGTGTGGCAGAGACGGTCTGGGTGCTGGGCAGATGCCAGGGAAAAAAGCAGACAAAAATACCTGCCTTCATGGAGCTTATGTTCTAATGGAACTAAAAAAAAAGAAAAAAACCAAAAACAAAAGATCTCAGTATAGTATTGTTGAAAAAGAGTTACAGGTGAATAAAGGCTCTTTAAATATTTCAAAGACATCATAGGCTCTCAAGATCCTACTTAGATGAAAGGTCAGCCCCATGACTTCCTGACTTCTTTTTTTTTCTTTAGAAGGAGAAAGTCTTATGTGGCTGTATTATAAATTAAGAGGAAAAAAAAAGGCAGAAACAACCCGAGGAGAATGATTTTGATCTGTGTCTCCCAGACTGCCCTGGCAGTGCTAGTTCCAGGAGATGATAATATGTGTGTTATTGAAAAAAAGAAAAAAAAATCTTCAGACAGGGATGTTTGGGAAGGATGTTTACTGTTTCCTGCAAGAGAGTTACTTGCATCCGGGTATAGTCATGGCCTGGAGAGCGCCTCTGGGAAATGAACTCTTTTAGGTTTTATTATTGCAGGTTTTAGTGCACTGATTTCACAGGTGAAAGAACTGATAGGTAACTGCACGGGCTCTTTAGCTAGTCAGTGCTGGAGCTGAGGCTAAAATTCTGGACTTTCTAAAATTTTATTTTATTGATTGAAGTATAGTTGATTTGCAGTGTTGCATTAATTTCTTCTGTATCGCAAAGTGATTTAGTAATATGTGTTTTTTTCATGTTCTTTCCATTATGATTTATCACAGGGTGCTGCATGTAGTTCCCTGTGCTGTACCGTAGGGTCTTGTTGTAGTGGTGGGATCTCACAGAGACTAGTTTCCCTCTGCTGATCTCAAGCTCCCAGTCTCTGCCTTGCCCACCTCTTCCCCTTGGCAACCACAAGTCCGTTTTCTATGTCGTGAGTCTGTTTCTGTTTCAGAGATATGATCGTTTGTGCTGTGTTTTGGATTACACCTATAAGTAATAGCATATTATATTTGTCTTTGTCTTTCTGACTTCACTTGGTATGATAATCTCTAGATCCATCCATGTTGCTGCAAATGGCATTATTTCCTTTTTTTTTTTTTAAAAGGCAGAGGGGTATCTAACTATATATATACACACACACACAGACATACACCACATCTTCTTTATCCATTTATCTGTTGGTAGATTCTTACGTTGTTTCCATATCTTGGCTACTATAAATAGTACTGCTGTGAACACAGGGGTACATGTAACTTTTTGAATTTTAGTTTTGTCTAGATATATGCCCAGGAGTGGGATTGCTGGATTATGTGGCAACTCTGTTTTTAGTTTAAAAATCCTGGACTTGTGTTGTCCTTGACCAGGGCCAGTTCTCTGGGCTAAACAGCCTTCCTCCCAGAGCTGGCTTGGAACAGCAAGAGAATTCTGGGGCTTTCTGCAGTAGAACTGCAGATGTAAATCACTAGAGCTCCTTGCACAGTAAAGGGAAGAGTTATCATTATCTGTCCCCAAGTGTCAGAGGTAAAAAGCCTCGTCACAGCACAGCTCAGCAGCTGTGCACCCAGTGAGGACACACAGGCTGCACTTTTCAAGGTCTCAGCTCTGTCCTGTGCTGCGGGCCGAGGGGCGTGGTGCCCCGGGGCGCACGTTAGAGCTCTAGACTCCTTGGGTGATGCGTGGGAAGGTGGAGCCCAATTCCCTTTCCCGGAAGAGTCCTCATCAGAGCTGTTCTTGTCCTGAGTGTGAGGGATGAATAGATTGACAGTTGCCAAGGGCTGCTCCTGCTTCTGAAGTGGAGCAAAGGAGAGAGAGGCTTCTAAAGGGGTGGGGATGGCAAGGCTCTGCCATCGCAGCCACAGCCACAGCTGGTGGGCCACAGGCCGGCTGAGATCCCTGTGGGGCTGAGATGAGGCCTCCGGGCGCCGAGCAGGCAGCAGTGTGCAGGGCGGTCACTTTGTGCCGCTGGTGGAGGGTGTTCCCAGGGCCTGCGCCTGTGGCAGAGGTGACTGTGAAGCTCGGCCTTCCTGTGGGGAACTCGGGGTCAGGGAGTTGGCAGACCTGGGGTTCAACCTTCCGTCATCAAAGAAGCGTCCAGTCTAGGTGATGTCCCTGTCGAAAGGGTAGTTTATTTTGGACACTTGGGCCCGACAGGTTTCTCTCACCAGAAATGGATGGATTTTGCTTAGAATTAATTGTAACTTTGGCTCTTTTCATTCTATCATTTAAAATACATCACAGTAATAAGGGATTTCTAGAACTTTTGATTTATTAGTATTTTGCTGTGTCGTAATGGAAGGTCAGTTTTTATGCCATCAATAGCAAGTTAATGTCTTTAATTCGAAGTGGTAATTTTTTTTTTTAACTGAATCATAAAATTGGGACTTGGTTGTTGTGGTTTTGTTTCTTTGTTAATAATTCTGTTTAGCTGAGTGATGTGCAAGTCTTCAGGCAGATCCTTACCCAGGTGAGATGTGGATGTTTATCTGGGTATGTGCTCAGTGAAATCTTTGGGGTGACGAAGACATTTTGGGGAAGTTGAAGTTTCAAGAAAAATCATTGTATATTGTTAAATAATTGGAGAGAATCTTAGTTCAATTCAAGTTACTTAGAAATGTATCAATAGACATATATACACTGCTGTATTTAAAATGAATAACCAGCAAGGACTTAACTGTACAACAGAGGGAACTCTGACAGTGTTATTTGGCAGACTGGATGGGCGGGGAATTTGGGGAGAATGGATACACATATACGTAGGGCTGAGTCCCTTTGCTGTCTACCTGGAAACTACCGACATGGTTAGTTGGCTACGTGGAGGTGGTTTATTCGCTAAGTCAGGTCCAACTCTTGTGACCCCGTAGACTGAAGCCTGCCAGTCTCCTCTGTGCATGGGATTCTCCAGGTAAGAATACTGCAGTGGGTTGCCATTCCCTTCTCCAGGAGATCTTCCCAACCCAGGGATTGAACCCAGGTCTCCTGCATTGCGGGCAAATTCTTTACCATCTGAGCCTCCGGGGAAGCTCATGCCCCATACTGCTTATACCCCACTGGGTAATAAAAAGTTAAAAAAGAAAATAGTGCATCAGCCCTGTCTCTGTCCAGTTTGTAAACTCATCTCAGGATGGGCAAGGCCGGCTCTCCTGCTCGGGGCTCTCCCCTACCCATCCCCTCCAGGACAGGTGCACCCAGGCACGGCCGCTTCTCCCTGTGTTGCCCAGGCCCGAGGCTCCAGCTCACGCTTGGTTCTTTCTAGTCAAGAGCTGCCTGACCTCACAGGCTGTCATGAGGATGGAAAGGTGGTGAAACCTTTTGAAAAACACAAATGCTGAAAAACGCGTGACCTGGTGCGGCCATGGAGCTTGCTTGGGTTATAAGTGATTGTCACTCGACTTCACGAGTTACTCACACGATGAGAGTAACATGAGAGCGAGTCGCC